TTTGATATCTCATGAGTTTCCAAATAGTTTTGCACTACTGCCCCCAATATGTCTACGATGTCAAAGTCGCGACCACCAACCATACACATACCTCAACATAAACATTTTGATTAACAATTCAGATTATGTGAACCACGTATGTTCGATTAATTTGCAATATAAATTTATTGATTGATTTTTAAAACGTTTGCCTAATGGTTTATTAATTGCTTCAAAGACAACTTAATTTGAGAAACTGTAAAAGTTTATGTATCTATAACACCCCCACAATGGCATAATCAGACATTAGACATACTTTGTTGAAGCTGAACCAAAAATCCACCATTGAATTTTAAATAGTCTTATTAATTCAACGAAAAAAAAAACTAAATAAAATAAATACATGGCAAATGTTTAATTTTTATGGTGGATTAAACAATTCAAACAAAATGGGCGATTAAAGCGTGTAAATGTTTCGTAATATTGTATTTTTTCTGGCGAGTGTGTTTAAATGCTCCATTAGATGGGGGGTTATCACAGTTTCAATTATAAAAAAATACTTTTTTAAAAAAATAATTATGGAAAAATAATTTTAAAAATAATTTAAAAAAAATGTTTATGAAAATATGTTACACACAAATATATTGTAACATATAACTCGAAAGAGAAAAACCGACTTAATATCATACAAATATCATTTTAATAATAAATACTAGATTTTTTTAAATACAATTTCAATTTTGGAATGCTACAATAATCTCTTTAAAGAGTAAAATTTAAAATGTTAAAATTTTATTCTCAAAAATCATTTCTTATTTCATAAGCATTTCTATCTTTCCAAATTGACAATTTGTGAAAAATCACTTCACGTTCTAGCATTAAATAATACACGCAAATTTACAATTCAAATTGCATTATTTTGTATTCGCCTTTCGCGCTAAAATATGTAAAACCAAAAACCCCGACATTCTTTGTGAGTATTCCCTAATTCTCAACAGCCACCAAAAAACGAGCATATTCCATTCCGTTGCCGTCGCCGTTCTTCTATCAAAGTCACACAACAATGAATGACTCTATCAACTGTCAGAGAAAAAAATACAATTTTGAAAGCGCGTGTATGATCTTCCATATCATCACCGCCCCCGCATTTCGTACTTCTTCTGTTTCTAATTACCTCACTACTATTGCTATTTTTTTATTATTGCTATTGGATATTTAAATATTTGCACAACAACAACAGCAACAAAATGTAGAGCTATTTTTTGGAAGTGGTGATGGGTATCTAACAAGAGAGGGAGGATTAATCGGTTTGGTAAAATAATTTTTTTAAGAAAATCTATAAAGAACATCAAAAAAAGGCTATTAGAAAGCCTGTATAGGACTTCCAGAAGATCAGTATTGGAGCCCTATTGCATACATTAGTATGAGATCTCTAGACTATGTCTATAGAAAATCTGAAGTAGACCCTTCGAATAGATACATAAATAGCTTATATGATAGAAGGCTTAGACATAGAAGGCTTATAGGATAGGGTTATAGAAGATCTCTAGAAAAGGTAGATTGTACACCGCCTGATCAAGTCCAGAAAAGGCTAGGGAAGAGCTCTATAGAAAACCTTAAGTAGTTCTCTTCAAAAGGTAAAAAATTTTTAATTTGAAAAATTCATTAGAAGCTTTTAGAAAAGATTTGTATAAGATTTATAAAAAAATATATAGTAGATATCTTGACAGAAAACTTCTACAAGTCCTATTGATAAGACCTAGAAGAGGTCTAAAGAGAAACTCTGGAATATTTCTATAGAGAATTTATAGAAGAGGTCTATAGGAAATCAATACTTGGGGTTTAGAATAGTTTTAAAGAATCTAGAAGAGATATATAACAAACCTCTAGATGAATGCTATGACAGAATAAGTTTATAAAATAGCTCTCAAAGACATCTATACAATACCTCTAGAACAAGTAGATGGAATACTTTAAAAGTCTATAAAAATCTCTAAAATAGATCACCTCTAGATTAGTACATTAATAGACGTCCAAATCAGTTCTCTAGAAGAGGTCTATGACAAACCTCTAGGAAAGATTTATATAAACCTCTAAATGTTTGCTACGGAAATCTACACACCTTTAGAAGTGGTATATAATAAATTTCAATAGGGTCCGCAGTTGACCTAAATTAGAGGCTTATATTAGACCTTGAGAGAAGTCTATAGTTGATTTGTATCTTTTACGGACCTGAAGAATATCTTCTATATGGTGGACCTTCGGTGAGGCCTTTAATACTCTAAATAGGAGTCGAAATTTATCATCCCTTTCAGAAGGAGAGTATAAACGTCGACGCACCTCTAAAGTCGTCTTGAAGAGGTATATAATAGACTTCCGATTGGGAACTTCAGTACGCCATCAGTAGATTTCTATAGTGTACCTTTGTAAATGTCATAGTAGACCTTTAGATGGAGCTATAGTGGACTTCTGTAGGCCTCTAGAGAGGAGTCTAAAAAATTTAGAAGGGGCCTAAAAATGTAGTAGACCTCATCTAAATTTCTAGAAAAAGTCTTTCACATCGATAGAGATCTATAGTGGAAGTCTAGCTTTATGGACATCTAAAAAGAGTTCTTCACTTGAATCCTTGATATCTTCAGAAGATCTTCAGTCTACCGAAGTAATGGAAGAAAACTCCAGAGGTTCCTCAGTCCACGGCAAACCTCAGCTCTCATATTTCTAGATCTCTAGAAGGTACCTTGACTAAAGTGGAACCCGGGAAATTATTCTATACATAAAAGAACCCTATGAGAGGCCTGGTACTTTGTCTATGAAAGAACTCACGATGGTTCTGGCTGTAAAATACCTCTACATGGTCTGTCTTCTGTAAAATACCTCAAGATACCTTCTATGTCTGCAGGTCATCTCCAGAAAATCTTTAGTATATGGAAAGAACGCAATACCCTATCAGGACTTTTTATGTATAGAAACCCTTAGACGAGCTTTTGTTTATATCTGTATGTAAAATACGCTTGGAGGTTCTTCAATCTACTGGAAACCTCATCTTTCATTTCAAGATATCGAGTAGTTACCTTGACTAAAGCGGAGTCTAGAGTCTATTTTACATACAGAAGAACCCTATACGTGTGGATCTATACCTTCTTTGGATACAATATATTTTGCTATAAATTACCTCGTGGTGTTTCTGGCTATAGCATTACTACATGGTTCTCGGTCTATAGAATACCTCAAGTAAACCATACACTGATTTTTTATATCTGTATATAGAATTCCTCTACGTAAAACCTCATCTCTGTTTACATGATCTCTAGAAGGTCACCCTACTAAAGTGGACCTTCAGAAAGTCTTATAGCGATAGAAGTAGCCTAGAAGGCCTTTAAAGCCTTTAGGGACCTTTATCAATGAAATACTCCTTGTTGATTTCTTCTCCAAGGAAAACTTCTGTAAAATCCCTTCTCTAAAGAAAACCTATAGAAAGTTTTGTAAATACCTTGCACAAGATTCTCTCGATATAGAAACCCCTACAACGATTTTTATGTTTATGTCTGTAAACAGAATATTCTTTAGCCTACTAAAGATCTGATATCTGCTAACAGACTCACTTTTGGAAAATCTTCTATCAGTAGATGAATCCTAGAAATGTAACGCCATTTCTTCTTTGGGAACCTCGACCAATTAAAACCCACTAGAACATCCCTTCTCAATGGAAAAAATCTGAAAGATCTATTTCTAGAGAAAACCTTTGGCAGAACCCCTTTCTATATCTTTAAAAAATCTGTATATATATTTAGAAAGTCTTCGACATATATATATATATATATATATATATTTGAAGATATTGTTTTTTATTGAATACCTCTGGAAGTCCTTTGGTCTACATTATACCTTTGGACGATCTTTAATAAATAGGAAACCCCTTGAAGGTTTTCAATGTAGATAAGATCTCTAATATATAAGGCGTCTAGAATATGTTCTGTGTATTTAGTTTTTCTAGAAATTACAAACGACCTCTAGGAGGCTTCCCCTCAGTGGATCTTACAAAAATCCTAATTTTCCCGCTTCAAAATTTCTAAAAATAATCTGAAAAATTCGTCTTATCTTCCCATTTTTTGTTCTTATCATACCATCAACTTAAAAGCTAAAATTCTCTAAAGCTTATGAATTGTTGTTGTTTTTATATGTCCATTCTTATTGTTGTTGTTATTTTATATATTATTTTTATTTCTATTACTTGCTTGTGGCATTTTGGCCCCACCAGCTGTTTTGGTTTGGTTTTTTGTTTGCTGTTTGATAGCTGCTGACAACGACATCGCGTCATTTTTGTAGCTTCGTCTACTTCTGCTGCTGCTACTGTCGTTGCGTTGTGTGGCCTGTGCTGATTGCTAATGTGCTGTGGAATGAATTAACCGAATTATAAAAACAAAATAAAGCGCGAGCACACACTCGCTCGCACACACACAAACATTTACTCATTCACTTTTATAATAATTCAATGTCAAGGTTATATTCGCTCATATCTACCCCACCGCACACGGCCGGTACACATCAACAAAAAATATATTGTGAAGAGTTAGTTATATATTTTTTGTGTTTTTTTGGTTGTGTTTTTTTATATATATTTTTTTTCTATTTATTGTTATTATTTTTTTTTTGCATTTTATTTTTAATTTTCAATTTCAAGCTTTCTTATCTATTGTTTTTGGTATATTTTTGTAGGAGCTCCTCTTGAAATAAATTTTTGGAAATGTTTTGCCTTTTTTTGTAGTTGATAAATATGGAAATATTTTGTGATCAGTAAATCGTTTTGTAAATTTCAATTACTTTTTTCACCATATGTGGGATTTTGTTTTTATAACATTAATATAGAAAAATTAATTATCTATAAAACTACAAAATATGGTCGATATAAAATAAAAAATAATATAAAAAATATATTTTTTGTGGTTTCATTATTTTTATTTAATATTATAATGTTTTTATTTGAAAATTTAATAAACTGATTTTAATATTTTTTATTAATTTTATTCTATTTTAGCTCTACTTCTGGCTGTAATGGCATCTTCTCACGCCGCTTGGATTTTTCATCTTTCAATCTGTTGCCGAAAACTCGCTTAAATTCCTATCAAGTTAAGGTAAGTGGACATTTTTTAAAAAGAAAGCGTTGAAACGGATCAAATCTATTTTATTTAAATTATGTATTTTATTTACGATAATGTAAACACATACCTCATTGAATATTTAAATATTTGAACTTAACAGTTACTTATGTAAATAGTAACATAAAATGCTTCTCATAAGTAGTACCTAAGATGAATCTAATTTCAATAAAGTCACTCCGAATCCGACTCTCATTCGTTTAGTGTACAGTGATAGGTTTAGATCAATAACCATGCTTGTCTATGTTGATGAACATAGATCATAACCTGGAAGTAATTTCTAAACAAGGAGTAAAAGTATTAATTTAAACCTTGTTGTTTCGGATGAAGCCATACCAGCTCTACTCACGAGCTGTTTTATCGGCGCCCAACGTGAGGACCAAAGTGGGGCCTGCTTCATTCACACCCAAAGTGGAGCCTGTTTTAGGTTTACAAAATTTTGAAGATTTTGGATGTGAAAAAGTGTATATTTTCTCATCAGCCATAAGACGGATATTATAAAATTGATATTTCCTAGTCGAATTTCTTGTTAATAATGTGTTAATTTTTATTTCAATCATTACAATATTTCCAAAATATTTATTTATCTGCGATTCTGAGTGTGTTTGATAAATGTTGATAAACAAATGCTGCCACTGCAATAAATTTCCGTTTGCGAACATAAATATTTCTTTGTTTCAATTATTTTCTATTTTACGGTCTACTGATGTTTAATTAAAGCCGCACATTAAATGGGTTTATTGCACTCTCTGCCTTCTTCTCCTCTCTCAATGGTGGTTTACATCAAATAATTATTATTGTTTGTTTTTGTATACAACACAAACATCCTTGCACACTTATTATGTACTTATTTTATTAATTATTTACAACGTTAATGAATATTCCTTTCTTTGTACTTGTTAATTAAACCTAAAAGTATGCAACATTGTTCAAAAAAGTATGCAACATCTTCGGACTTATTGTAGGCTTACTGAAGATAATAGCTTGTACAAAGTTTGCTTCAAATCGGATAGTCCGTTCACTAATATTATAAAATTCGTTTTTAGCACAACTTTTACAATTTTATGGGGGAAGTACCAGAAAGAGTGGATCGATATTCCTCATCTTCGAACTTAAATTAAGTTTGGAAGAAATATTACGAGAGTCATCGTGCGCACAATCCGCCTATATAGATAGACGGACTTTTGTAAATCGACTCCAAATTATCTGCAATAGACCTATTGTGTGCCTACTGAATGAGATTACTCTTTGATAAAATGAGCTGTAGAACCCCTGTACAGGGTCAACAGAAGAAGGCCTCATATCTGTTAAGGTACTTAAGAGGTATTTTATTGTAAGACAGAACATTGAGTTGAAATTCTTATTCGTATAAAAGGCCCTTAAGAAGGCAATTGATATAACTTCTGTGGTAGATAATAGTGGTCCGGCTCATTATGTCCTTCAAATTCATATAACTGGATCGTTGGTGGCCTAACTTATGCCTTATCATAATAAGGAGTTTTGGGATATGTTTAGGTGAAATCTTTTCAAAACATTTAATATCGATATAGCACAATGCTCCGAAGAGATTACTAAGAAACCTCAAAGGAGTCGCGTAATTGTCCAAATTTTCCTTATCTTTGCAATATCTAAATATGCTAAATAAATGTTGTGTAGATTTCAGAGAAAATCCTATCATTAGAAGGCCTATTAAGAATAATTTTTATTTTGTTTTATCCTTAAAAATTAGAATCAAATTCATAGCCTAACGCTTAGCCCTTTTTTATATTTTCCAAAGTGGTTCAAACTTTACACAATATTTCTAGCCAAGAGCCCAGAAGCTGTATTGTCTACATGATCTAAAAAGAGGTATCTTTTAGTTTTGTAGATCCGAAGTGAGAAAATGTCTTTACTAGACTTATGAATGATTTGTACCTTTGTAGGAGGTTTGGGTACCTTAAACAGCAATCTGATTTAAGCGAAATCCCATACACTTTTTTTGATGAAATCCATCCTTTATCCATCCGGACAGACCACATGTATATATTGTAAAAACGTTTCTTCTTGGAGAATTAACATATTTGCCTTGCATCCAGAAGGTCGTCGGAAGGTCATCTCAGCAAGCCTGGGGAAATTTCCGATTATTTCAGTTTGTATTTAAATATAATACTTTTCAGAAAGTATATCTGTCGTGTACTTCAAATATTTAAACCCAGATTGATTTTACGTCCTCAATGTCATTTCTGAGCAGCTCAGCCTCTTAAATAATGGCAGTAGTCCTTTTTTTGACGCCCTACCTTATTTTATTGAGATTTAATATCATCTTTTTGATGTGAGAGAAGTTGTAATAGCTCTTAACAGACATAATCCGCCTATATGTCCCATTCTCCACTTCTCAACATTCTATTTTATCCGAAATGCGGATTTTTAAATAGTTTCCATTCAAGATGAAGTACCAATTAAGATGAAGTACCCAATCCTCTCGCGCATTCCTGTTTTTATACCTTAAATGTGTATACTCTCCACCACGTTTATAACACTTCGAAATGTTCCACAGTAAACATATAGTCTTGTTTAAACCCCATAACGATATTGTCTTTTCACTTCTGGAGCCTGTTATTTGAATATTCGAATTTTCGAGGGCCTACTTGTAGATGTCGGATCCTTAATCGGTAGAATACTTTCCCACAAAACATTTACAAGTTTTGGAATGATCTCTATATTTCGCCCTAAAAAATATTATATTGAAGGTCCTAGTCAATTTTTGCTAACAATTTTTTTATTTGTATTTTAGCATTTCAAATCGTGAATGAATTACATTTTTTCACTGAAATATATGTGAATAGACCGGAAATTATGTTGATTATTTCCATATGATGATGTATATAAAATAATTAGTTCCTAGCTTTGCTTTGCTTTGTTTCATTTTTTTTAATTTTCTTAATAAAAAATTATGAATTAAAATTCCAATATGACTTACAGACAGACTTACTGACTGTTAATTTCAACACATTCATTAACTGCTGTAATTTCATGCAACACTTGGTTAATCGGATACTAGAATTTCAATGCTTTTTAGCAAAAAAAAGAGAGCTAGAAGGAGGGTGCCGCGCTACCATTGACTGAATGAGACTACAAATCGTAGTAAGTCAGCAATTCTTGGAATTCTAAGTAACGCCGTTCATTCAGTGCACTCTATTTCTTTTGAAATCGTGGTGGTAGAATGTTTATTGTTTTCTTTCCATTTTTTCTGTAAAGCAAGGCAATGGCGTGCTTAAACGTTTCTTAAGAATATTAGATTATATCACTTGGCGGTTGGCTGGCTGGTTGTTTGGTGATTAAAAGTAAACAATTTGAATAAGTAAATGTGAATATATTTTTGCCACACACACACTATAGAGCTACTAAGTAGGAATTCCATATTTTTTCGTTAGATTGAGTGAACAAAAATGTGGATTAATTTTAGATAACGGTTGAAATGGAAAAACATTTATTATTATTGTTGACAATATGAAAACGAAAACAATAACACATTTTCCATGTGGGCTGGAATATTTTATTTTCTGTAGATAATACAAATTTATAAATGTGAAATTAAGAATAAATTATTAAATAACAATTTGTATGAGATACAATTTATTAATAATGTATTTCTTTCTTATAAATTTTATGTTTCCTTATATTATATACGTAATTATTTCTTATTTCAATTTTTAATTTAATTAAAGGAAGACACTAAATTAAAAATTGAAATAAAAAATAAATTTAAATTCAAAATTTAAATTATTTTTTATAGAAATAATGAAAGCAAAATAATTTTTAAATATTTTTATTTACTATTTAATTTTTATTTAAATTGATTTTGTTTTTTTTTTCATTTTTAATTATTTTTTTTATTATTTTTTATAAAAAAAAATAAAAAAAATATTTAAATTTATTTTTTATTTAAAATTTGAATTTAATTTTATTCTTTAATTATTTATTTATATAAAAATAATTAAAATAAATATATATATTTTTGTTTTTCCTTATTATTTTTCTGTATTTTTTATTCCTATGTTTTTCTATATTACTCTCCGGGGTTCATTGAACTCTGTTGCTGAAATTAGTAATATTTTCAAAAAAAAAAAAATCAATAGAAAATAAACCACCATTGCCATAGTATTCTGTTTAAATATAAAACTAAATAAATAAATAATTAAAATGAAAATAATCATGAAATTAAAAAAGGAAAAAATTGAAAACAAAACTATGTAGCACAACAAATAAATAGAAACATAAATATACCAAGTCATAAAATTTCAGTAACCATCACATGAAAAAAATACAAACGTTGATATTCAACAATATTTTCATAAAGAAAACAACAACTCAAATTACTATAATAATATAAACAAAAAAAGTAAGGGAATAACAAAAACTAAGGCAATATTTTTGATGATTTAACATAAATGATATGAATGAATGAAATCTAAGGAAAAAATCGATTCTGCGCTTTTGAAAATGAAGCACAATTTGAAATGTTAGATTGTTGTTATGCTGGCCACAAAGAGCAGAATTGGCATCATTTGTTGTATTTTCTGGGAATAAACAATAAACATCTGTGACATATATTTTTTGGATTTTTTCAACATGACATTTCATAAGAAATAAACATGAAACAATGTTGCTTAAATTTTGAGAAGAAGGAGAACAAAATTCAAATGCAAGTGGGAATTGAAAAAAAAAATATTGTTGAGCAGCATATGTGACATTCCAGTTGAAATGAATTCCAATGTTTAAATTTTTGCTATTGTTGATAATTTTTAAATTTAATCAAACTTAATAAACATATTTCTTAAAATTGGAAATTTAAAGAAATTGGAGTTTACTCTAATTGTTAACAAAATGTTCCGTTTCTTTTATTTGTCTTATTAATAGAAAATGTGATTGCTATGTCTATTACGGTATCTATATATCCAATCGGGACCAAAAGCCTATATTTGAGACCTAATCAT